TCTCTCTCTCTCTCTCTTTCTCTCTTTCTCTCTCTCTTTCTCTCTTTCTCTCTTTCTCTATTTCCCTTCTCTTTTCCTCCTTTCCTTCTCTATTTCTTTCATTCCCTCTTTTCCTTCTCTCCTTTCCCTCTTTTCCTCCTCCTACCCTTCTCTCTTTCTTTCTTTCCCGCCTTCTTCTCTTCTCCTTTCCCCTCCTTTCCCTGTTTCCCTCCTTCTTCCCTTCTCTCTCTCTCTTTCTTTCCCTCCTTCTTTTCTTCTTTCTCTCCTTATTTCCTTCCTTCTTTCCTTCTCTCTACTCTCTCTCTTTCCTTCCCTCTTTCCTTGTTCTGTGGCCCAACTCTAGTGAGAAGGGGTTTAAACTTTAAACCCCTTCTCTCTTCACTCCCCCCCCCCGCCAGCTGGGGAAGGAAAGGGGAGGCTTTTGAAGATGTCTCCCTCCCTTTTGCTTCCCCTTCTGACATAACTTCCGGTGATGTCAGGGGGTGTGGCATATGGTAATAGCCCAGTAGCTCATTAGCATACTATACGCTAATGAGCTCCTGCAGCTCTTTTTCTACAAAAGACCCTTGGTAATGAGTGATTAAATGTAACTAACTGGCGTTTTGTCTGCAACTAAACTAGCTAGTTAATAGTGCCATGATAGTAACTACCCTCTGATTACCCATGGTTTATATGGTAATTAGACACATTGAGGGGATGTAGCTATGGAATTCAATCACCTTGACCCTCTTTGCCTGTCAGAAGTCTTACTTTTTGGACCAAACCATAATTGTTCTTAAAATAATGGCTTTTTAAATGCTTTTAAGTATTTTATGTGTTCTCTATATATCCCTATATCTCTACTTTGCAGCTAAGCTCTAGAGACAATTGGTTCCATGGGGAAATTAATTTTAATTCACTCTAAGACCCCTACCATTTCACATTTGCTTCACCAGGGGAATCTGCAAAATAGTATTGTCTAGATATTTCCCACAGCAACAGTGTTTGCAACCACAAAATGGATGCTGCAGGAGGCTAAGTCAACAACAAAATTTCAGAGTGAAGTTATGCATAAGTTTCAGGCATTAGCTTGGTCTAGTTTGATGCCTTTTAGAATTAACATATTGTTTACAAATATTTTCTTGCATACACAAAAAATAAGTTTACATATTGAGCTAGCCAACAAACTCTCATCTGGCAGTATCTGTCTTCATTTTGCAGGCATCTAACATGCATGAAAGGAAAAAACGCTTCATCTCCTGGCTATTCTATCTGCACGATCCCTTCTCTTTTTAGCCTAGCTGTTTTTATCCTGCACTGCTACTTATAACAGTGGCAGCTGGTGCTGAAGGGCTGGGCAAGAGCTCCTTGCACATGCGTACAGTAAGAGAGAGAATCTGGCCAGATTTCGATAAGAACACTAATTTTGAAAAGTGACCAAGATTTAATATAGTTGTGTCAACTTCTATCTGCTTCTAAAAATAACATTAAAACAGGGAAGATCTGATTGATACACCAGGTAGCATTCAGACTTCAGTAGAAGTTCCAGTTAGATGCATTAAGCATTTTAACCATGCAGCCCTACCATGTTTAGTCAGAAACAAGCCCCGCTGGGTTTTTAGAATACCACTCTGCTGTTTGCACTGGTAAAATACTTTACATAAAGCTGCTGTCAGCATTAGATGATAAACATTAAGAAACTGACTATGCCAATTTTCTAAAAACACTTGGCGAGCACCAGGAAAGGTCTTGACAGGTGCTAAGGTGCACCATGGGTGCCACATAGAGGACCCTGTATTATTCTTTCGATGCATTACTCTTTATGCTCTGGCTTGGCAACCAATTCCCTTATCAATAGGAGAAGATAATAGAGAGGATAGCCAGCTTTCCTGCTCTTGTCAGCCTCTCTATGCCAGTGTATGAGTACAATGTGAGTCATGTCTTCTCTTCATCTATCTTACAGGGCTAGAAAAGAGAAATTAGTTGACAGAAGTCACATAGCTTGTGTAATGAGTTACTTTTCCATGTTCCTCTTGGTGCAGAATGTTCTCTGGTTGGCTTTTCAATCAGCGGTTCATTCCTTCTGTTGCTGAAGAGGACAGGACATAGACAAGGAAAAGCTAGCAAGACCCCCACAAGACTGGGAACTCACTGTCTCCATTACTTTCCCTGTCTTCAAAAGAAAGCTAGTGTTGAAGAGAGGGAAGCCATGTCTTCAGTGGGATTAGATTTCAGTTCTCTTCCATCTCTTGTCTTCCCCCTCCCATGGTGGCTGATTGTCCACCATCCCAACCCTGAGACTCATGGAGTGGGACCTGGAGTTATTTAATTAACTGATAGTCATAAAGGTAGTACTTCCACATATCCTAGTTATGATACCGTATGGTAGCTGTGAATATGTGTAGTCATGATAATGTGGTTTTGAAGTGACAGAATATTTGCTGCAAATAGTGATAACATGGAACTATGTGATAAATGTAGTTGAGCTATTAGTGCCAGATTGCCTCCCAATAAGATCACTATGTTCCTACTGGGAGTGATCATTTTCCATCCCTAGCAGGCCCTGCCTGCTGTTGCTGAATTGGATGGTGGGAGATAAATTGGGGAAATGGAGCACTGAGTTTTGGCTGAATGATAGAGTGTCACCAGCAGGGGTCATTTCCTACCGGAGTGCACCGGAACAGCGCTCTGGCAGAAAGGAGCCCAGGGGTGGGCACATTCAGCAAGCCCCACCCCCAGCAGCCCTCAGTTGGGCCACGAGGAGCGGGAAGGAACAAGGTAAATTGGCGAGCCAGGGAAGGCCTTTCAAGGAGCTGGGAGGTGCCTTTGCCCACCCGCCAAAACTGGTGGGCGGGCGAAGGCCTCTAGCGACCCCCTCTGGCCTCCCCTAGCCCACCTGCCGAAGCAGGCAGGCCGAGAAAGGCCCTGCAAGGAGCAGGGAGGCATTTAAATGGCTCCCTGTGCCTTCCCCCGCCTGCCCTCTCACTACCCCTCTGTGTGTGTCTCTCTCTCTGCCCCTCTGCGTCTCTCTCTCTACCCCTCTGTGTATGTGTGTGTGTGTGTGTGTCTGCTCCTCTCTCTCTCTTATCCTCTCTCTCTCTGCCCCTCTGTGTGTGTGTGTGTGTCCCTCTCTGTTTGTCTCTCTCTCTGTCTCTGTGTGTGTGTGTGTATCTGTCTGTCCCTCTGTGTGTGTGTTTACCACCAGGGCCGGCTCACCCGCTAGGCGAACTAGGCATTCACCTAGAGCGTGGGCCGGCCCTTAGGGCGCCAAACTGGACCTCCCCCCCTGCACCCTCCCCGCCGCCGGGACCACCACCGCCTGCCATCCACACCCTTTTGCAAGCCCAGGCCAAGAGGCCGGCCTTGCAGCACCTCCCGAAGACCTCCAAGAGCCGGAGCCTTGAGGAGCCAGGAGATGGGCGTGGGAGGGGCCCTGAGAAACTCCCCACTGCTGGGACTGCACCCCCCCTTCCCCCACTCCTTGGCTGAGGCTGCAACCTCCTTGGCTGCCCTCCCCTCCCCGCTGCCGGGCGGGGCCGCTTTCCCTTAGGGGCGGAACTGGGTTCCCTCTCGGCAACACTCACGGTGGAGCCGGGAAGCTGCTGTTTTTCAGTTTTAAAAAGGGGGGAGGGAAACCGCGGTCTCCCCTCAGCAGCCGAGCCACCCCCGGGACCTCTATGCTCCTTTGCCTGCTTCATTCTTTTTTAACCAAGAAGAAAAAGGCACCGCCGGCCTCTTCAGGTCAGCCCTGGGTGGGGGCAGCGCGGGAGGTGGGTTCTCTCTACCTGGCATTAAAAGGGAGGTGGGGTGGGGGGAGGATGCATCCGCTGCTTTTGCGTGCCTGCTTTCAAACGGCGATTCTGGGGATGAAACTCTGGCCAGTATGTCAAGAAACTGCTCTGCTTACTGCACTCCCCCGTGTGAAAGAAACACTGATTATTCTCCGCCTTACTCTGAAGGCTGAGGGTGGGGCTCCTCCCAAAAGAGGAAAGGGGAGTTTCTCAGTTTCCATGACCCGCCCACAGTTGGAGGAGGAGGAGAAGGCGGAGCCGTGGCTCACTCAGCCTAGTAGGTATCGAGGGGCTACCCTGCGTGGGGGGAGGGGAGGGCTCCAGAGGGGAAGGAGGAATTGACCACCGTAACTCTTCCCCCCTGCATACGCGTTTAGCCAGCCCGAAGCTAAATGTCAACAGACTAACCGTTATCCGTGAGGCTAATGAAGGCCACACTATGAGAGGCATGCTTTGTTTAGCGCCCTGTCTACCTCCCATTGGTGAGAATTGATGTAGCGTTTCATGATTGGCTAGCACATCCTGTCAATCCAAACCACGTCGAAGACTGCTCGTGTGCTTCTTTGGTGGGAGGGTGTTGTAGGAGTTATAAAGTGGCTGGTGTGGCCATATTGCTTTAGGGCAAATGTGTTTGTGAGGGGGATATTTTGAATGGTTGGAAAAAGCTGTAGGACATGGAGGGAAATGATGGGAGAGAGAACTGATTGTGGGTTGGGCATGGGAGCGTATTACAGTTGTCTTCCTTGTCTCCAGGCCCTGCCTGGAGATTGGCAACCATGTAATTTGACACGCAGGGGCCGCCAGAAGGTAGCTCCCCCTAGGGTGCCAAAAAAAACTTGGGCCTGCCCTGTTTACCACTTAATTGGGGTGATCACTGCATTTCAAAGGGGGTCAGGTTAATGATGTCTTCAATGGGTCCTTTAAAAAGAATTGTGTCAAAGAGGTTCTAGAACTCTGTTCTGGCATGTTCCCTCAGAAAAAAAGCCCTGGGAATTGTCTTGCTCACAGCAGCAGGCAAAGCTTAGCTTGTATTCACTTGAAGAAGGCAACTTGGTATTTAATGTTATTACATGCGTCATGTGTGTAAGTCTGTTTTAGGCACACCTCTCTCTCAAGGGGTCAGGTTATTCATAATTTTCTAGAGAAGGGAGGATGTCTTTTCTAGATAGTAGATCTCTTAGCCCTGTGAAACATGGAGCATGCAGAATGTGTACCACTTGCTGGGGTGTTTGCAAGAGACTGAAAGAGAAACTTGCATGAGATTGTGGCTTTTCTTCCGTTATTAAAAGTTTTTGCTGAGCATATAAAAAAAGCTGTGATCTTGCACAAGTCCCATTCTCCAATGTCACACTGTTCATACAAGCAGACCATTTATTTGAACAGGTTTTTTCAATATTTTAATTTTCCATGTAACTATACAGGTACATTGGTGTGATAAGAACGTAACTTCCTTTTTCAAAACAAACCAACCCCACTCATATATAGCAAAGGTCACCGCTAATTTGCCCTTCTAAGGAAACTGGACTTTAAAAAGCTGAACCCAGGAGGCTTTGTATAGCAACTATATCACAAAAATAAATAGCAATACTAACTGGATCTGTATTTTCATGCTTGTTGTAGGGTATTGTTGTAGGGTAGCTTCCGGTGATGTCAGGGGGTGTGGTATATGCAAATAAGTTATGCTAATGAGTTATGCTAATGAACTCCTGCACCTCTTTTTCTACGAAATTACCCCTGGTCACCAGCAACATGATGATGTCACTTCCAGTCATGCTGGAAGCCACATCAGTGTGTAGCCAGCAACGCTGTTACATTGTTGACAAGACTCCCCCCATAATGAGTCTCACACCAGTTGTCAGCCTTGGCAACCCTACCTCTGAACTCTATTTTACATATGCAGAATTTACCACAAGGAGGCATCCATATACATTTTGAAAGAAACTGTTAAGTCACGTGGGCAAGCCAATTAACTAGAAATTTCAAACTGCTGCCCTGAGGCCCACAACCCCATGGCTGAAGGCTGGCACCTACAAGCAAGAGGGAGGAGAGCTACAGAAAAACAATCAATGGAATCACAAACAAATCTGTAGTCGAAACAAGCTAAGTGCATGCAATAATACTTATATTGAAACCAAAGTGAATAATAATACCAAACTCATAAATATTATAATGGAATTGTCAATGTTATAAACAGCAATTATTAAAAAGTGGGTGGTAACAAACTCAAACCCACAATAAGTCACAGCACATCTCCAAAGCAGCAGGCTTCCTTCATTAACAGAACATGCACACAAAAGAAAAGAATTCCTTATATAAATTTCACAAGTCCTTGAATTAAAGTCCAAACATCTATAGTGGCTTGTAGAAAATAAGATCCATGCCAAATGAAAACTACGCAGTTCCGGATAGTCAGCGTTTCAGACCTGTTCCTTCATCAGGTAAATCAGGTAAGTCTTCATTGATATACAGTACATACACATGTACAAACGAGGTCCTGATCAAAATATTTCAATTGGGCTCAGCTCCATATCTCTTACAAGTCAGAAATACCTCTCCTGAGAGGAAAGGTATTTTGATTGGGACTTTGTTTTTACATGTGTATGTACTGTATATCAATGAAGACTTACCTGATTTACTTGATGAAGGAACAGGTCTGAAACACTGACTAGCCGGAACTGCGTAGTTTTCATTTGGCATGGATCTTATTTTCTACAAGCCACAATATATAGACGTTTGGACTTTAATTCAAGGACGTGAAATTTATATAAGGAATTCTTTTCTTTTGTGTGCATGTTCTGTTAATGAAGGAAGCCTGCTGCTTTGGAGATGTGCTGTGACTTATTGTGGGTTTGAGTTTGTTACCACCCACTTTTTAATAATTGCTGTTTATAACATTGATAATTTCATTATAATATTTATGAGTTTGGTATTATTATTCACTTTGGTTTCAATATAATTATTGTTGCATGTACTTAGCGTGTTTTGACTACAGATTTGTTTGTGATTCCACTGAAGCCTGGCACGTGGCTACCTTCCCCTTTCCTCCCTGAGGACAGAACCTGGGCAGGGAAGGGATAGCCTGCTGAGCCTTCCGCTCACCTCCTTATCCATTCACACTAAACCTTGTCTATGTATTAAAAGGCCTTTGATCAAGAGCTAGAAAATAGTTAAGAAGGAGGTTTGGTGGAGCTTGCTTATGTTCCTCATTCGTATAATCTGTGATACTCCAGTTTCAGTATTTGAAGAATCTTGATTATAAAAACTGCTTTCCTGGAGAATCTTGATTATTAAAAAGTGTCATTTTGTTTTATAGGCAGCTTCAGTTTCACAAGAGAACAACTGAGGAGCACAAAGCCTGCTGACTATGGGGAGGCTTAAAAAAAGAAGAAACTGGAGCAAAACAATTGTATGGTTGATGCCAGTAGTAAACTGAGCTGAATAATCTGTCCCCACAGTTGCCGTGATTTCTCATTTTTGCATACTAAAGGGAGTATTTCCATGGGTTACTGTAGCGTTCAGATGCCTGTTGTAGTCAACCATAAAATCCGAGTCCCTTTTTGGATTTGTACTGATTAATTTCACTGAGACTGTAAACATAGAAGTTCAGAGCTTGGGCTTTTAATATGGCCTAATTCTTTTTAGCATCCTTACATGTATGAATGTATGGCAGTTCAACTTGCCATGGAACTTTTTAACCTTCCCTCAACGTTAATGTGGATTCATCCATAGTACATACTATTAACAGTCTTGTTTGATCTTGAATTTAATGACCCTTTGGAACCATCAAATGGTTTGTGCATTTTCAAATTTCATTTGCAGAATTTCAGTTTTTTAAAAGAAGGGAGCAATAATGAATGTCCTGTACAATGTTGCTTTTGTTCTGGAGGAAGTGTCTGTTTTTAAAAGTTGCTAATTGTGTTGAATAAGCTTCCAGTTTTCAAGGACCTTTGGATAGTTAGGACCTGCCAACTATCAAACTCAAATAAAGCTGGATTTAGACATACAGTTCCAAATTTGCTTTTTCTTTTCCTGAAAGTCAGTACAGTTTAGCATAACCAGTGAATGCTGTTGACTGGATAACTAATCAATGTTTCCACCTGACCTGGCCAGTATGAAGGATAGGGA